ATGCCATTTTCAAATCCTGTTTCAAATGCCATTTTAAAATTCCATTTAAAATGCAATTTTAAAATTCAGTTTTCGAATTTCAATCCCTTCCTGTTACTCGTATTCTTACTCATACATCCTCATATTTGAGGATTACTCATAATCCTTGGTTATATGCTCATTCTGGCACAATGTGCCATTTCTGGCATCCACTCGTAAAAGATTTTATTGTTGTTGTGGGGTATTTCTCCAGTTTGGTTTTTTTCCCTCTTGTTTCTTTGGTAGCTATAATGGATCTTCAGAAAGTGTAAATATTTAGCAATGATTCTTACAGAAACATTGATAATATGGGTATTTACAAGTTATATCTATCATTCTGATAATTTTAATGCTCCTTGAACAGTGTTTTGCAAGTTTGTAAATTAGGAATAGTAACTTCACTTACATTCTGTTGTTGCAACATTTTTATGCCTTTGCTTGTTTATGCCCTCAATTATTATTTTCACCTTAGGAAAAGAATACTTTGGGAAAAGTAATTTAGTGTCTTAGGCCTTTCTACCACTTCATTCTGTCCTTTGCAGGTCACAGAATAGTTTGAGTTGGAAGGGACAGTAGGGAGCATCTATTTCCAGCCCCCTGCCATGGGCAGGACACATCCCACTGTCCCAGGCTGCTCCAAACCTCATCCAGCCTGGCCTTGGACACTTCCAGGGATCCAGGGGCAGCCACAGCTGCTCTGGGCACCTGAGTCAGGGCCTGCCCACCCTCCCAGGGAAGAATTTAATCCAAATATCCCATTGAATGCTGCCCTGTGCCAGTGAGAAGCCATTCCCTCCATCCCCAGTCCCTCTGCAATTCTCCTGGAGCCCCTTCAGGCCCTGGCAGGGCTCAGCTCTCCATGAGCTTCTCCTCTCCAGGTGAGCACCCCCAGCTCTGCCAGCCTGGCTCCAGAGCAGAGGAACTCCAGCCCTGGAGCATCTCCATGGCTCCTCTGGGCTCTCTCCTGCTGGCCTCTCCCCTGCTCTCCATCCTTCTGCTGTTGAGAGCCCTAGAGCTGGACACAGTGCTCACACAGACACACAGACCTTTCTTTGGCTGTTGGGTTTAGGATACTGATGAATCACTCTCTTAGCTAACTTCATTTTCCTGAAGCTGCTGATGGGAAATAAGCAGCTCTCTTCTTATTTGCCCTTCTGTGCTAGAGATGGTGTGAGCTTTGCAGTGGAGATGGGCTCAGTGGTGCACATCCCCATTTCCATCTCTGCTTTGTGTGGATGTCAGGCAAAGCAGGGACTGCTCTGGCATGCAGTTATCCATGGCTTTAAAAAGTGATCTGGACTAAATCATAAAGGAGGGGTTTGATATCTTGAATATTAGTCATTTCTGTGTGATCTCAAGTGTTGCTCATTATCACTCATTAGCACTGTCAAACATCACAAAATTTGGATCTGAACTGTCTGCAGTCTTTCCCTTTGGGCATTAGTGAATCTTTCACTATTTTTGCTGCTGAGCAGAACTACAACAGAGAAAATTCTTTGGTGTTGTCCTTAGAAGTTTTAGTTAGATAAGAGAATAATCTGTCTCTGAAATTACAGCTTCTATGGTTATCGAAATACATTTAAAAGTATCATTCAGCTGCTCCCTAGAAACCTAAAACTGAACAGACAAAATGAAACAATTTATTATTTATTAAAGTGGTTCTTTTTTAGGAAGGGAAGAGGTTCTGCTTCTGTATTCTTAAGTATTTGGCTTTAGTGAGATGGAAAGCAATCATTTCCCAGCAGTTCTCTAACTTTTCTGGCAGCAATCTTCCTTGCAAATCCCAATTTATCAGGGATGGTTCTGACATTGTTGGCTTCTTCTGGATTGGGAAATGTTTGTTAACTGTCAGACTAATGTTCTGTGTCAAAGATATGTTTATTATTTTATTTTCAGACCTCTGGTAGCATAGAAATCATAGCATTCTGAGCTGGAAGGAGCCCACAAGGATCTCCCAGTCCAGTCCCTCTCCCTGCACAGACCCCCCAACAACCCCACCTGGGCATTCCTGGCAGCCTCGGGGCCGTGCCCATTCCCTGGGGAGCCTGGGCAGTGCCAGCACCCTCGGGGGGAAGAATCTTTCCCTAAATCCAGCCCAAACCTCCCCTGGCACAGCTCCTGCCATTCCCTCAGGTCCTGGGGAGCAGAGATTGGAGCTGCCCCTCCTATCATTATTTATGTGAGACACACAGAGCAGCCAACTGCAGTGGCTCAGGCTGCCTGAGGGTCAGGAGCTTTCTTCCAGGCATCCTTGTAGATGTATATGAAGCATCTGTGTTTGAGTTTAATGAAACAAAGGCCACTGTAAATCATAACATAACTCATAAAAGAACTTTCCTTGTAAGAGTGTGGTATGAGCTGTCTGACTTTGATCTTGCCAGATGCATTTCTACCTTGAGGCTTTATTTTGTTCCCAATTCCTATTTTAACTTGCTATATATGTAGTATGGGCAACCCTCAGCAGATGTTTTACACTGCTGAATTCATTCAGGGTTTGTTTTTTTTTTTTTTTTTTTTTTTTTTTTTTTTCTTTTTTTTTTTTTTGCTTCTTTTATGTTACCATTGGAAAAATTCAGAGGACATTAAAGGTTAGTAGAAATGAGAGGAAAAGAAACAGTGCAGCAGCTTTTCAGCTTCATTTTATATTATTGCCCTAAACAAGTTAACCCAGATCAAACTCTTTGTGAAAGTGTTCCTTAGCATCATAATCATGGAATGGTTTGGGCTGAAGTAACCTTAAAGCTCATCTCATTCCACCCCCTGCTCCCTGGACACCTTCCACCAGACCAGGTTGCTCCAAGCCCTGTTCAACCAGTGTCTCATCACCTTTAAACTGGAGAATTTCTTCCTAATATTTCATCTAAACCTACCCTTCTTCAGCTTACAGCCATTCCCTGTGTCCTGTCCCTCCATCCCTTGTCCCAAGTCCCCCTCCCACTCTCTTGGAGCCCCTTCAGGCTCTGGAAGGGGCTCTGAGGTCCCCCTGGAGCCTTCTCCTTCTCCAGGTGAGCACCCCCAGCTCTCCCAGCCTGGCTCCAGAGCAGAGGGTCTCCAGCCCTTGGAGCATTTCCATGGCCTCCTCTGGCCTTACTGCTCTCTGAGTAAATAATTTCTTCCTCATTACAAATCTAAAGCTGCAATTTTAATTGCTCAGTAGCAGTTTGTCCATGGAGTCACAATTGTCCTGTTGCTCTTTACTCTGTAAAGTCAAAACAAAAGGTTTCAAAAGCACCACAGGCCCTGTACACTGAACAGACCCCTTGGAACAGGATTTTAAACGAGCTAAACCTTGGCTACCTTTTTGTCTGCTGACACAAGGTGGTGTTTGGAGATTTCAGTGATGGCCTTTTCCACACAGAAAGAACTTGCTGAACTCTGGAGCTCACGTAATTCTTTCCAGCAGGTGGAGCATCAGCTCATTTACCGACTGAAGGCACAGGGGGGAAAAATAAATGTTCACCTCAGCTTTTAACGCCAGCAGCTCTGTGCCTGGCTGCCCTGGGAGGCCAAGGGAGGAGGGTCTCTCTCCTGAGAGACCTTTGTAGCCATGAATTGCACATATCCACAGTCTTACTCAGTCTCTCATACAGGCTTGTGTTTTCATCTTGTCTAGCATAAAGAGCAAAGAAGTAGAAAGAGTACCCAGGGAAGGCCAAAGCCTTTCCATTTCAGCTGTTGGGATTTGAATGACTGTTAGATTTAAGAAAAAAAATTAGGGAATTCTGTATCCTGTAAGCATGAGAATTTTACCAGAAATCTTACTCAAACTGGTAGGCTGGTATGTTTTTGTGAATATGAAAATTAAGAATTTTAAACAGGAGAATTCTCACTAAGAAATAGTTTATTGAAACAAGTTTTTTTTGCCATCCTCCTCTTAGCATCAGTAGGAACTGTTTTCCTTTAAATGTCTGTCTCTGGCTCCCTCGGTATTTCACTTACTGAAGAGTCTTTGCAGGTAAAAGTTCTCCAGGGAAATGATGGGAAGGAACAAAAAAAACCACAAAAAAAAAAAAAATCTAACCTGTCCAGAAGAGTTGGTGTAGGTACTTGAGCCACATGGGAAGAGGAATTTTGTCTGCCTGAGCAGCACCTGAAGTGTGGGAGAGGGATCCCTGCCAGGAGAATTGTTGCATCCCCAGGGTGTAAAGGCAGTGATGCAGCTGTGCTCAGGGTTCTCTCCCTGTCCTGCCCTG